GAGAAGGAGCAACACTCTGGGAATGATAAGGAAACTATCAACAATGAGTTGAGAATAAAATATCAAGAGCATTTTGGCATCTTCAATAAAATCGAAGGAGACATTTATCCTCAGTGGAACAAGTGTAGAACACGTTAAGCCAATGAGAAATAGGAACAGAAATTCAAGAGAATGAGACAGGGAATGAAGACAGTGAGGTTTGCAGGGAAGTGGATGATTGGAGAAGGATTTGCAAGGCATCTAAACAACTAAACAATGGAATTAAAATCCATGTTAGAGAGTGAAAAAGAGCAGAACTGAAATGACTGAACATAACATCAGGAGGGCTTGGAGATCCAAGGGCAATTTAAAACCACACATTTACTTTGCTTCCCTAACAACCTCACTAGAATGCATAATGAAATACAAAACTGGGAGAACACTGTATCACCACTTGGAACTAAGGAAACATGGCACTCAAAGGCAAAACAAAAATTCAAAGACTCTGTGAACTAGAGTGCAAAAGCTCTGGATAAAATAAAGGGCCAACTGGCTCTTGCAGAGCTCCCTGTGCTTGGGAGTGGGTGGAAGCCTCCAGCAAATTCCCATCATCAATTCCAAGTTTCAAGAAGCAGGGCCTGAAGGCAAGTTTTGGCCATTCCATACCTGGCACAGTTCAAATGCAGCCCTGCGAGGGCCAGTGGTAACCAGCACTGCAGAACTAATCTTGTCGACATTGCACCAAAGAAAGGAGAACTTGCTCCAACTGGCTCCTAGTGGGGGAAGATCTATCTCTTCACAAAATATGTATGCTAATCCAGGGATCTCTGAGCTATCACCACCAGCAGCAACAATAACAGCAATGATAAGGAATGAGAGAGAGAAAGAGAAAAGTAAAAAGACAGAGAAGGCCTTCACCAGAGTGTGCAGGTACATTTACCTCTTTGGTACTCTCTCGTCTACTCGGACCACTCTACCTCCACCCACAAAAGAAAGAGTCAGCAAATCTAAACAAGTTCCCCTCACTCGTCCAGCCCTATAAACATGAATGATGTTCTGTGTGGTCTCTAACCATACCCACCTTGATTTCCAATCTCAGACATAGAGATCCCTCTTGAATAGGAATGAACAGAAAACAAAACAACTCATGATTTCTAAAGAAACAGAAATGACATGAAAGGTTGTTTTCTAAAACAAAGTATTCTAAGGGCAAAAGAAAAAAAACACCTTCAAGAAATATTTTTTTTCCTATATTTATCAAGATCTGAGTTCAAAATAAATGTGTGAAAAGAAAAAAATGAACAATCCAGTAAATCCTGTGTTCAGGTGAAAAATGATATTATCTAAATGCGTAAAGTCAATGACGGTCAGAAATGTCAGGTTAGAAACTGTGGACAACAAATAGTCAATTAAAAATCTAGTTTGTAAAATATCAAATAGAGCTCAGCCAGAAATGGTAAGAAGACGAATATAAGTTCAAGAAGAGAATCTACGGGGTACCTGTGTGGCTCCATCTGCTAAGCGTCTCAGGTCATGATCCCAGGGTCCTGGGATCGAGCCCCACATCAGGCTCCCTGCTCAGCGGGCAGTTGGCTTGTCTCTCTCCTCCCTACTTGTGTTCTCTCGTGCTATCTCTGTCTCTCTCTCTCAAATAAATAAATGCAATCTTTAAAAAAAAGAGAGAGAATCTACGAAGACAGTATTTCTGTGGGAAGACACACACAAACAGGACTACTACAGAACACATGAATAAGCAATAAATAAAGAAAAGAATTCTATTGAGTTGAGGACTGAGGGTCAACACTGAAAATTTTATTAAAGAGGTCTACCCAGATTGGTGATAGTGAACGCTCTGAACCTAAAAACCTAAAGGAAAAAAATGAATCTGAGTTCTCATTTAAATGACTCACTACGCATAAATATTTTCCTCTTCTTTCTCTCAGAATTTTATGAAAATGACAAAATTACTCTGAGATAGGGGGAAAATGGTAATGATATAATATTAAGAAGAATGCCTTCAAAATCAAAGAAATATAGAGTATTTTTAGAAGATAGTATGCTAATGGAATAATATTGATACCCAAACTTAATGTATCCGAGGACCCTTGAAATCTATAAATTAGAAGAAGGAATCTCTGAAAAACTGAGTTTTCCAAAAAAAGTCCCTCAAAAACAAGATCATAGAGATCAAGAGCAAGGAGCTGGAACAGTGTGAGCATCCTTACTGCGTAATTGTAGGATTACAAAGTAGTTGCTGCAATCCCCTGCTCTCAGTCTTGCTGTCTGCTATATTTTCCAAGTGGATAAAGCCTGCAAGACCACTTTATATAGACTGTGGGAATTCTGCAAAGGGGCCTATAAACGGTGACTTTGGGCTCTTGGTGCAGGGGGCAGGGCCAATTACCTCGTCCAAATAGCCTTCTTCTGCACCTCTAAGTAAAGCGAGTCTGCTTTTACCTTCCTGCCCACTGGGTGCAGTTGGTTTCCGCACTCATTGCTGTGGTAGTAATAACTGTCACTTGTGCCTAGGTAACTTCCATGGACAATGATCACAGCTGAATCTATAAGCTCATTAATACATGGAAATGAAGAAGCAGAAAAATAAAAATCAGACACTGGAGGAAGAAAGTAACTTATAAAACTTAATACCATGAAAGGGAGAAATCAAAATAAACAGGATAACTAATACCAACAGGATCAGAATCAGTACTGAACACAGAACGATTTTAACTATTTCATATTCATATTTTCATAGAGATGAAAGGATGCTCAGAAAAATAGAAAGTAATTATTTCTTTTAAAGCATGATTACAAAGATTAAAAATGACAACAACAATACAAAGATTGGATAGCAGAATTGTCAGGGATAAAGATTATTTTGGTGATTGGGAAGATAAAACTGAAAAATTATTCCAAGGGACAGTTTAAAAAAGTCAAGTCAATAAGAATTAAAAGACACAAAGCAGAAGACATGGTGGTTATATCTATAATAGCCAATATCCTTTTAAGATTCCTACTGACATCCAACTTTTTATCTAAAACCCTGGAGTCTAGAAAATAGCAAACAAGAATAAAGGAGTTTGAATGAAAAGAATCCTATCCCTATCAAAATTTGATCTGATATGAGGGGGGAAAATGGACGTTTTAGACATCAATGAAAAGAAACTACATATTGCTTACACTTACTTTTTCATCAAACGTGTTCACTAATATACGAACTGAGAAATGAGTATGTGTGGAGGATATTTAATGACACAAATAATTAACTTTAAATAGTTACAGATCACGAAGCTTTGGAACTTAAGTGAGTATTCTCTTTCTGAAAAATAAGGGTCCAGGAGGAAGAGAAAATTTCAAAACATACTAGAATTCTTGCCTTGTTACAGGAGCCTAGGGGTAGGCTATAGTTAGCAATCCACTTTTGACATTAGTAGGAAATTCTAAGTTTAAATGCATTTGCTTCAAAGTCAGTGTAACAACTAGTAGAACAGATATGTGGAGCCCAGTCCATGCAAACAATAGCAAAAGGATCAACCTGATAAAACTCAGGTAGAGGAACAAGAATCCATTGTAACTTAATGAAATAAAACCTGATAAAGAAGAAACATATCCTGCATCCAGAAATATTGTTGATTATATTTGATGAAAGTACTCTCATTTAAAACCACCTGGAAATATCAGATAAAATGCAATAAAATTTCTTTTACTTGCTTAGCTGAATGCTCAAGAATGTTAGAGAAATTTTCATAGTCTAACATCTAAGAGGAAAACTATTAAAGGGATCATAAGTGACTGAAGGCCTGGCTGTTCTAAGGGCATGTTTCAGTAATAATTAACCCAGGTTTGACCCTTAACCTCAGGAGAAAATGTCTTCAGTGCATATAGGTGAGGGTGAGACTGAATCTAATGTGTGAATCCCTCAGACCATTACACCTTCAGAGAAAGTTACCTGTTTTGAAAGACAAATAACAAGAAATTTTGATTGCCTTGATCATGGTGCTGGGTAAATAAAACAGTCCCTTCCAAAAAGTTATAATTGCCAGTCTCGTCCATACACAGGTAAGGGGTCTAAATTTATTCGAATGTTCCAGAAAGTAAAAATTCTGGATATGAACATGAAATGGTTCTAGGTCCTTGAAATCCTTTTCAGGAGAAAAAAGAAGGCAACCGTCTCAACTTTGTCAGAAATAAATACCTGGTAAAAATGAGTTCTCACATAGAAAGTCACTGTGAGCTAAAGTGAGCCAAAACAATAATCAAGAGAATTAAATCTCCAAGGAGTTCACACAGAGGAATTATTAGATACAGAACATAAAACCTTTACTTAAATGGTTTAAAGGAATAAAAGAGAATCTAAAATATGCAAAAGAAGATACTATTTATGAAGAGCATGAGTATTTGAAAAGTAAGCCAAATTGAACTTCTGGAAATTAAAACTTATATTCACTTAAATAAAAATTCAGTGAAGAGGTTAAAAAAGCAGAATAGATAACTGGACAGAGAAATAGTCAAGTAAGGGAGTGATCTCAAGAAATTACCGAGGAGGTAGCATAGAAATTAAACCTATGAAAGACAGGTTGAAAGACAATGGTGGATAGACTGATAAGGACCAACGACATGCAACTAGGGTCTAGAAAAAAATAGAGAGAGTGAAGGAAAAACAATATATTAGGAGTTAATTCTAGAATCAATCAAATACCTTGCTCTTCAGATCTTAGAAGTAAAGCAAATCCTAATCAGGAAAAATAGAAAGAAAATGATACCTGAGTGTTAGCTACTGTAACAAACCCTAAAATTTTTAATGACTCAAACCTGATAAAAGTTTATTTCTTTCTCTTATAAAATCCAAAATGAGAATGGTGATTATTGAGTGCCATCTATCATTTCTGCTCATATTCTTTTAGCTAGAAAACACACAACAAATTCCAAAGAAAGATGGGAAATGCAGTGTAGCTTTGCAGCCAGGAGAAGTAAGAAAAGGACATTGATGAATGCATAGCACTTTATCTGATACATCTTACCTTTCTCACCATGAAATATTCATTTTATCCTTCCCCTGTGCAAAGAGATAACCCAGTCCTTGAATCTGGTTCAAAGTTGAGTATTTCCAGATGATTCTCATTCCTCCCACCAGCTTTGTTTGTAGCTCCCCACGGGCCAGTGATCTATGAATAAAAATAATATGTTATATGCTCTCTCTTATACGCAAAGGTGGAGAAGGTACACAGTATCCATAATAAACTCATTGTGAAAAGGTGAGTCACTCGTTCATAGGACTAATAAAATCTGACTGTGCAGGCTTTGTGAAAACCACCTCCTTGTCTGTGGGGAACGTTCCTTGGAGTGATTTTCATTCTTCTTTCTGGCCATGTGTGAAGTGGGTGAAGGCACACAGATTCTCGTAAATATTAGGAGTTATTATAGTTAGGTAGTAACCAAACTGGACCACTAACACTGCACTGGTAAGAGTGCCAAAGTTTTGATGTTAGCACTTGATGATGGAACAAGTCTTATTGTATTATTTAAGGTGCTTCGGAGCATCAAAAAGAATTCTAATTTATTTGTAACATAAAAGGTACAAAAATGTATAGAAATAGATGAATAAGTCATTGAAGCAGAACAAGAGAGCCTAGGTATATATGCCAATTAAATACATGCAGAAGGCGCTTTTTTCAAATCAGTGAGAAAGGAATAGATGATTCAATTATTCAATAAATGGCATTGGAACAACTCATTCATTTGGGAACAAGATATAAATACTTCACACCATTCACAGAAACAGATTCTAGATAGATACAATAACTTTCCTTTTTTAATGCTATAAAATACACTATAAAACACATCAGAGAATATTCTCACATTCTTATATAAGGTAAGATCTTTCCTAATCAATATAAAAAAAAAATTCCAGCAGCCACAAAGTAAATGATTGACAAATTTGATTATATACATTTTTAGTATTTTTTTTCTTTTTTTTTTTACAGAAGATTTCATAAACAAAACCAGCAGGCAAGGAAGCCAGGGAAATATAATCCTCTGAAATACAGAGCAGGGGGAATAAGAGGAATGGATTTGATAACAAATAGACAAATAGAGTGGGGCAGAGTTCGTTCTAGACTGAAGAATGGAGTTCATTAAATGAGCAGGTCAATTCACACAAAAGGCAGCTCTTACTGACATTCCACAAAAGGGAAAAGCTAACCTGGCCACTCGGATCTGTATCAATGCTATCAGTTACGGAAAAAGACAAGATTAAGAACAATGACCCCAAGTTTAGTGCTTGAGATCATCCATGTTTCAAATGTGGAACATTTTGCTTACATGAAAGACAATCGTTGTGTCTATTTCAGGCTGAGAAACACACCAGACCCTATTAAAAACGGTGTAATCACAAGGGGCCCCTTAAATTTGAATGGTGCTTTGATATCTGCACAGAGCTTTCAGTTGTGTTATCTCATTTAATCCTCTCAAAACTATTAGTCCAATAATATCGACCTTCTTTATCTAAGAGAAATAAAAGCTGAGAGAGAATTAGACAACTTCCAGAATGTCAGTGAGCAGAAGAGTCAGGATTCAAATCCAGATCTTCCTCTGACATTCATATAAAACAGTGGCATTTCTACCCTACCCTCTGACATAAAAACAGTGATCTTTCTACCCTGTCTACCTGACCTCTCCCTGTTTATTCAAGGGAGTTTAAAAGAGTCTATAAACAAGTTTAAAAGACATCACAGTTTGAAGTAAATGATTTGCAACACATGCAATCTACAAAGCATTCCTGAGCCTACACTCTATAATGTGCTCCTTTGTACCAAGATAAAAGGCAAACAGACAGAAAAAAAAGTAAATGACAGAAACGGACAACTTAAACTATATAAATGCCCAGAAATATACTAAATTCTGTTCTCCCATACTAATAATTTAAAAATGCAAATCGAAAATTTGCATTTCATGCCTATCTATTTGGTAAAGACCAGGAGGTTTGGTTCTATTCAGAGTTGGGTATTTATATATTTGAATTTTATAATGACGCTTCATTTTGGTAATCAGAATACAAGAGAAGTAATACCAATTGATTAACAATTGATTAGAAAGCAGCTTATGTGGTATTTTCTACTAACCAAGACCAAGAACTCACCGGAGAAGTAAGTAAGCCTTTGACTTCCATTCGCAGTTCTACTAGAAAAGATCTGAGTATATGTTAAATCTCTGGATAAGAGTTCATTAAAAAACAAAAACAAAGATTGTTCTGTCAAGGAAGAAGAGAAGGTGAAAGAGGAGGAAGAAGAAGGAGGAGGAGGAGGAGCAAAGAGGAGGAAGGAAAAGAAAACAGTGATAAAGGGAAAATAGAGGCATTGGGACATCCCTGTTGTGTTGGAGGCCCAGGCAGTGTAGGAAGCAGCTTCAGTATGAAATCTCTTCCACCTCCAATTATCTATGTGGACATGCATCCTTGGCATAATGTGTATGGCTTCCAATCTATTCATCTACACCGATATTATGGAATTTCTGTGAAAGCTAAAAAAAAAAAAAAAAAAAAAAAAAAATCTGAGTGAGGCCCCTGTGTGGGAGACATCTGCTCTTCCCATTGTGTAGGGTTCATTCTGCCTTTTCTGCAAAGAATACCTCAACTTGCCTTCAAGGGTCTCCTCCCCCAATCCTTAGGTAATATTGCTGCAGGGACCCTAGGCTCCCCCTGCACGCCCCCAATTGCCCAGTCATTTTCTGTCTCTTCTCTCTCCTGTCCCTGTGTCTGCTCTGTCTTTCACAGTCTTCCTGAGAGGACATGTTTCTGCAGGGCGCGTGAGAAGCCGGCTGTGGGTCCTGTAGTTTGTATTTGTCAATTCAGATAGCGAATGAAAGACGTTTTATCAAAGCCACCTCCAAAACTCCTTCCCTCAGTGCCTGTGCTCGCTCCAACGCCAAAGACAATGACTGCCTCCTGGGGTCAGACTCCTGCCACTGGGCCAGCCAGCCAGGGCTACAGACACTCCGCAACCTCACGGCGTCCACTGTAACTGTGCTGGTGGGGTTTGGAAAGGAAGGTCTGTTCCCGGGAAAAGAGGGTACTGGAAGAACGTATCAGGTAGGTGCCCGCCACAGAGAGAAGCCAGGAAATAGAGTGCCATGAAAGCCAAAGGAAGGACAGTACCGGGATCCTTTCACGAAAGATGGCAATTGTTAATGGTGACAAAGCCTGCAGAGTATGCAGGGTTGACAGGAGTCTTTGGATTTAGTGGTGAGGCAGTCACAAGTGACCTTGGCAAGAAGGTTTAGGTGACCCACGGGGAACAAGTCAGAATGCAGTGGGTTGAGCCCAGAGTGAGGGAGACCGAGCTGACCATATCCGAGGGGGCGAGAATGCTATTAACCCAGGCAGAAGGAGCATGTGAAGGTTTGACAAGAATGCTATCGAGTTCATTTGTTTTCTTGCTATAGCATGACCATGGTCAGAGGCTAATAATAATCTCTTGACTTTACAATCCCTCGTCTGAGACAGGAAATAGAAGAGACCCTGAGATGATACTGGGGAGAGGACAACACTCCTTGCATTTTGGGGATTCAGGAATTCCCACGTGCTCTTAGGAAAGCACGTCCCTTTGCAATCCAAAGAACATATGCAGTGACCACAAGGAATAAGGAATGCCACAAAATTTCTTACAATATCCGTACAAGTAAGGTCAGTTATACTAACAATGTCATGTTTGTTCAATTCCCTGAGCGAGGCATATTCCTTTACGGTTATAAAACTTTTTCCCTCCATCCGTAGCCTCCTTCCTCCATCAGTCTGACACACACACACACACACACACACACACACACACACACAAAAGCCCTCTCTCCTCTAATACTTTCCTTTGTGGAGGTTTCCTGGAGTTACCCAGAGCGTTAATACTTTTCTTTCACCCTAATTCTGCATCTCTGGATGCCCCTTTCAGAACAGAGGCACTATATCAGGATGGTTCATGCACTCGCCTGCCGGACGCCCCCGCTGCTACACCGACCAGGAGAAGGAAGCAGTGCATTACAGAAGCTCGGGTGTGGGGTGTGGGGTGGGCACGGACAGCACTGCTCTTCTCCCCTAACTGGCTGCCATACAGGTGTTTGCACACTTACAGGCAATACCTGTGGCATGAATACACCTAAGTAAGATGACTTGGCTCCCAGCACCTGCCAGGAACCATCTCAGATTCTGTCTGCCATGCTGAGCTTTTCTTCCACACCTGTAACACCCCCTGGATCCTCCAGCTTGCTTTGGTTACTGGCTGAGACAGATGAGGATCAGCCCCACCCACTGTGCTCCATCCCACCGAAGAAAGGTGACCAAGATGGGGCGCCTGGGTGACTCAGTTGGTTAAAGCATCTGTCTGACTTTGACTCAGGTCATGATTTCAGGGCCGTGGGGTCAAGCCCCACGTCGGGCTCTATGCTCAGTGCAGAATCTGCTTGTCCCTCTCCTTCTCCCTCTGCCCCTGCCCTCGCTCATGTTCTGTCTCTCTCAAACAAATAAATAAATCTTAAAAAAAAAAAGGGTGACCAAGAGCTACAAGAACAGATGGGATTTCCTGGCATTTTGGCTCAGCACAGGGGAATGTTATACATGAAACCAGGACACTTGAGGGGAAATGCCTGAGCCTCAGCTGGGAAGGCTGCTGGCCACATTTGGGCGTCAGCCCTGCAGAGGAGAGGGTGGGCCAGTTCTTTCTAGAAATGGTGGGGTGGAGGAAAGAAAAGCAAAAGGCAGGTTAGCAATAGTCTGTGCTCATAAGTGACACAACTCTGACTTTTGAAGAGTAAGCTGGCATTTACCTAGGGATCAGTGACAATAGTACCCACTAGAAAGAGGTGAGATTGGCAAGCCCGGCAAAAAAAATGCCTTATTGCCTCTGTTCGGGGGATCTGCCCTGACACCTTAGATCTGTCAGTGGGAGAAGCAAGGAGTGATGGTTAAAGTCACAGGCTACAGAGTTCAGTTCCACCCCTTACCACCTGTGATCTTGAACAAGCTATTTAAATTATTAACATTTGGTTTTATCATGTAATATTTAAAAATTAAAAGTCCTAGCTGATAGGGTTACTGGCATTATAAAGCATATGAAACACTTAACATAGGAAGTGCTTAACCAGTACCTAGTAGGTGTACAATGGACAATTATTATG